TCGCGTGGGCGAACGGCGCGCGCGCCATCGCGCGCGACGATCGCGCGCGCCTTCCCGCGCCGCGTCGCCGCGGTGGACGGCGGTTGGATCGAAATCGTCGCGGCCGCGCGCCGCGTCGACGCGGACGCGGCGCACTTTTTCGCCACTGCATTCAACGGCTTTTGTCGATCGCGCTTTTCCCGACATCCCTCGCCCGACCTTGACCCTCCCTTCCACTCTACATCCCTCCTCGCCCCAAAAAAACAGACGAAGGCGCGAAGCTGTTCGCCGCGCGCAAGTACAAAGAGGCCGCCGCGGCGTACGACCAGGGCATCAAGCTCGTCGACGGCGCATCCGCGGTGGCCGCGGATCTCCACGCGTCGCGCGGCGCGTGCTTCTTCCACCTCCGGCTCTACGCCGACGCCGTCGCGGACACGACGCGCGCGCTGAAGATATCTCCGGGTAACGCGACAGCGCTCGTGCACCGCGCGAAGGCGTACGCCGCGACGGGGCAGCAGAAGAAGGCGAAGGCGGACGCGGCGGCGGCGTTGGCGTCGGACCCGAGCGACGACGACGCGAAGGCGACGATGGACGCGCTCGAGCCCAAAAAGGAGGCGAAGGGCCTCGGCGGTTTGGGTCTTCAGCCTAAGAAGAAAGGCAAGGACGCCGGCGGCGCGAATTCCGCCGAGAGCGTCATGGCGCAGACCGCCGCGCGCGCGGTCGAGGCGCAACGGCAGGCGAATGCGATCAAAGCGCGGCAGCAGCAGATGGCGTGGGGCCCGCCCATCACGGTGAAAGCCGCCGCCGGCGACGACGTCCGGAGCGTCATCGTCCCGTCCATGATCTCGCACAAGGACCTCATCACGTCGCTGACGCGGAAGTTCCCGGACGCGAACGCGTTCGAGGTGAAGTACACGGACGCGAGCGGCGCGCTGAGGCCGCTGACGTCGCGCGCGGACTTCCAGGCGGCCGCCGCCGCCGCCGCGGAGAGGGCGGACAAGTCCAAGCCGACGCTGCACGGCATACCCAGCGTGAAGCTGACGCTCGTGGAGCAGGGCGCGGACGAGGCGCCGGCGACCGCGACCGGCGACGCCGCGACCGGCGACGCGGATATGACCGACGCGGCCGCGGGCGACGCGGTCGTGGAGATTGACGAGTGGATCCTCGATTTCGCCGCGCTGTTCCGCGAGCATCTCGGCATCGACGCGGAGGCGCACCTGGACCTTCACGCGGAGGTGCGCGAGCGCGGTGGCAGTTCGTTCGTCTCTCTCGTCGTTCTCTCTCTCTTTCCTCTCGTCGTCCTCTCATTTTCTCTTCGTACTTTGTTCTTCGCTCTGTTCTGTTTTGGAGTCGCGCCGTGTTCCGTCCTCGTTCTCTCGTCGTCGCGCGCGTCCGAGGCGATGACGAGAAAGTCACTCTACTACTCCCGAGACGCACGATGACGAATATCGTTTGATAAATGTCTTTCGCTCCTATCGCGAGCCTCTCCACCGCGACGGACGGGACGAGAGAACGAGACGCGAGCGAGCGCGTCTGCTTCCGTCTGTCTGCTCGTTGCTCTCTCTCTCTCTCGTTTCGCGAACGCCCGCCCGCCTCCACCGAAACGAAACGGACGATCCCTGACCGTTACTCACTCCCCGTACGTATTCTCGCCCCGCCGCCTCGCGCAGGGTCTCGACAAGTGCAACGAAGCGCTCGAGCCGCACGTCTCCCTCGCCGACGCGGAGGAGATGCTCAAGATCGCCGGGGATAAGTTCCAAGAGGCCGCCGCGCTCGCGCTCTTCAACTGGGGCAACGTCCACATGTGCGGCGCGCGCAAAGCCATGGACGGCGGCCGCGACCCGCCGCTCGAGGAGGGAGGCCCCCCCGGCGCGGCCATCGCCTCCGCGGAGAAATACGACGAAGTCGTCGAGCGCCTGGACGACGCGAAGGGACGGTACGAGGCGGCGCTCAAGGTCAAGCCGGATTTCCACGACGCGAAGATCGCCCTCGCGCAGCGTCGGTACGAGCGCGCGCGGCTGTTGTGCGCCGCCGCGGGGTTGAGCGGCGAGGCTGGCGTCAAGGCGAGTTCTGTTGTACCTACACTGGTCCCCATACGACCCCGTTGGCGTGGTGAACGCCGATCCTTAAGGACTTTCGCCGTCGCATCTCTCCGCGCACCCCTCGCGTTCAATCCCTGCGCGCGACGCCTTTCAACGCCAACTGACGCCTTTGAACTCCACCCCGACATTCGCTCGTATAGAACGGCTCTGATTCGGGCCACGACGCGGAGGCGCGCGCGAAGGAAGCCGAGGCGGAGTTCCTCGCCGCGGTCGCGGACTTCGAGACGGTGCTCGCGAAGCTTCCCGAGGAGCCGGCGAAGACGGAGGAGGAGAAGAAAAAGGCGGAGGCGGACAAGGCGGCGCGCGAGGCTGCCGCGAAAGCGGCGGCGGCGGGACAGGCGCCGAAGGAGGGCGAGGAGCCGCCGCCGGAGCCGGAGCCGTCGATGCGCGCGCAAGTGCAGGTGATGTGGGGGAACACGCTGTTCGAGCACTCGCAGATGTGCGCGCGGTTGAAGAAGCCGTGGCGGCCGCTTCTGGACGCCGCGGTCGCGAAGTTTACGGACGCCGGGTGCGCGAAAGGGGACATCGACCAGGCGCTCAAGGTGCACCGGGGCGTGCGCGCCGAGTCGAAATAGGTTCTTTTAGGACGCGGACCGACCGACCGACCGACCGACCGCGGCGGGCGGAAGGAGAAGGAGGCGGGGGGCGAAGAGAGAAGAGGAGAGAAGAGAAGCGGAGCGGAGGCGGCGAAAGGAAAGGAGGAAATGAGGACGCGAGGAGAGGCGGCGGTTCATAGTAGGCGCCCGCCCGTCGCGCGACTTCGGATATCAGACGGCGATCGAACAGTCAACAATGATTTGATTTCGTAAACAAACCGCGCTCTCTTCCCGTAGGGCACCGTACGGGTAGCGTCTTCGCATCTTCTTCCGCGTCTTCCTTCTCGCGCCAGCCAGCCAGCCTTAAAACGGCGGGTCGTCGTCCGCGAACTGCCGCGCGGGCTCGTACCCCCCCTGGTTCGCGTCGTACGGCTGCGAGTAGACGTCGCCCCCCGCCGGAGGGTCGGCGTAGTAGGGGTCGAAGCCGTCGCCGCCGCCGCCCGCCATCGCCGCGCCCGCGGCCGCGCCGACGGCGGCGCCGACGCCGCTGTTCCCGAGCAGCTTGTCCGCGGCCCACTGCGGGGTGTCGTAGGAGTCGATCCACAGCGGCGTCCCGTCGTCCTTGTGCTTGAAATCCGGCCGCCGCGGGTTAGCGCCTGGTTCGAGCTTCTGCGGGCGGTTGTCCCACCAGTTGTTCGGGTTCTCGATCAGGTCCCTCCACTGGTCGTCCTTGGCGCCGCCGCCGCCGCCGCCGCCGCCCGCGGACGCGGACGCGGGCCCGGGCGCGGACGCGGACGCCGCGTAGCCTCCTCCCATCCCCGCGGCGGGCGCGGCGTTGTTCGCGTACGACGCGGGCGGCGGCTGCGGCGACGCCGAGGCGTACGGATCCGACGACGATCTGCCGCCTTGTCGCGACGGGTCGTACGGCGAGACGAACGCGAACTCGTTCGCGCTGATCTTCACCTTGCTGCGGTTCTGCCCCGTCGCCTTGTCGACCCACGTGTTCGTCTTGATTCGCCCGGTGACCCTGATCTGCCGCCCTTTCGTGACGTGATCCGCGAGCTGCCGGCCCGCGTCGTTCCACGCCTCCACCTCCAGCCAGTGCGTGTCGGACTCGTCGTCGCCGCCGCCGCCCATCCCGGGCCCACCGAACCCGTCGTCCGCCATCGGTTTCTTCCCTCTGACGGCGATGTTCACGCGCGCGACGCAGTTGCCGCTCTCGAACGTGACGATCTCCGGGTCCATGCCCGCGTTCCCGATCAGCGTGACCGTGTTGGCGGAGCGAGCGTCCCACTCGACGACGGGCGGGGGCGGCGTGGAGGGGCCGAAGCCGCCGCCGAGGTCGGTCGGCGGCTGCGCGTCGTACGCGCTCGTCGTCGCGGAGGAGCCGCGCGCGGACCCCACGGAGACCCCCGGCGCGGGGATCGGAGGGAATCCCGCGCCGTACGCCGACGCGGAGCCGACGTCCACGCCGCCTCTCGAGGCGAGCGACGACGATCTGAGGTGGCGACGCGACGTCGCGATCGCGCGCGGCGCGGAGGGCGCGCGGACGGCGGAGGAGGCGACGGGAGAAGTCAGCGCGCGCGCGCGTGCGGCGCCGAGGACCTGGCACAGCGTAGACATCCTGCGCATTCCACGACGCGTGCGGAAGGGCGCGAAGCTGGTGTGCGAGAGAGAGGGGCGATTCGCGCGGGAAGGGCGAACAGGAAATTGACTTGAGGTGAAGATTTTTATAGTGGGGTCGCGCGGCCGTTCATCGACTTTTTTCACCCACTCCACGGTTTCAAAAGTTGACCGCGATGCCTTTTGAACGACCGATGCGATGAACACATTACCGTGTAGCTCCAAACAGAGCGCATCATCGTCGTCTGAATCTCCCCACACCTCCCGCGCGCGCGGCCGAGGGTCCCTCCCGCCAGGATGGATCTCCTCAAAGCCGAGCTCGAGAGGAAGCGCAAGGCGAAAGCGGAGGAGTTCGGCGGGCAGAAGTACGTCAAGAAGGCGCACATCACCGCGGTGCGCGAGGCGAAGCTGCGGATGGAGGAGGAGGAGGAGCGGCGCGCGAAGCGCGACGCGACCGCGAACCGATCCGCGCCGCCCGCGGGGACGTCCTCCGAGGGCGACGCGGACGCGGACGCGGAGAAGAGCGGCGCGGCGGCGGCGACGACGACGTCGAAGAAGGGCGACGCGCCCGCGGGGGGCGAGACCGCCGAGGTGCGCGCGGCGTTCTCTCGCCTGGATGTAGCGCGCCCGACGCGTTCGTTCGCTCGACCGCCAACCCTAACGAACGCCCCCCCTCCCCCTCCCCCCCGCGATCGATCCCTCCCTCCCTCCCTCCCTCGTCCGCGCGACAGGCCTCCTCCGACGCGGCCGGCAAACGCGACGACGACCTCGCGGACGTGGAGCAGCTCGACGTCGCGGAGGCGATTCGACGCCTCAGAACGCTCGGGCAGCCGGCGACGCTGTTCGGCGAGTCCGAGCTCGATCGTCTTCGACGCTTGCACGTCGTGCAGCGAGCCATCATGGTGGAGGACGAGCACGCGGGCGGGCAGCAGGCGAACGAGAAGCAGACGGAGCTTAGGGCGTTGGAGGAGTACGCGAAGCGGCAGAAGCAGAGGGGGATCGCCGCGGCGGAGCTCGCGGCGAAGAAGCTCGCGGCGGAGCGGGATCTGAACAAGGCGTCGAACGAAGGTGAGCGAGGGACACGCGCTCCGTCGCTTTTCGAATCTGAATCTCTCTTCGGCGTCGACCGTCGTCGCGCGACCCGCACCCTAACCCTAACCCTAACCCGCACCCTAACACTAACCCTAACACTAACCCTACATTCATCACGACGCAGGCAAGATGGCGGAGATCGCGGAGGAAGAGAACGCGGAGCTCGCCGCGGCGTTCAAAAACGCCGCCGCCGCCGTCGCGAAGCGTCGCGTCGACGCCGACCTCGCGCCCATCGACCAAGTCGGAGCGTACTTCAAATCCCTCCTCGAGGAGTGGGAGCGCGAGCTCGAGGCGAAGCCGGAGGAGTGGATCTACACGGAAGAGGCGAAGCTTCAAGTCGCGAACGTGCGTCTGTGCAGGAACCACATGAAGCCGTTGTTCAAACGCATCAAACGCCGGCAACTCCCCGGCGACATCGAGCGCGCGCTTTTTCTCATGGTCCAAGCGATGAAGGCGCGGAACTACCGCCAGGCTGCGGACGTGTACGTCGGCGTCGCGATCGGCAACGCGCCGTGGCCGATCGGTGTCACGTCCGTCGGCATCCACGAGCGCTCCGCGCGCGAGAAGATCGGCGCGCAGTCGCAAGCGCACGCCATGCACGACGAGGAGACGCGAAAGTACTTGCAGTCGGTGAAGCGTCTGATCACGTTCGCGCAGCGGTCGTACCCCACGGTCCCGTCGCTGTCGCTGGACTTCAACTCCGGGTACAACGGCTGGGACAAGGAGTCGCTCACGCGCGAGGACGCGAAGCTGGACATACGGAAGCAAGTCCCCGCGCTGCTGGCGTTGCCGACGACGTCGGACGGGAAGCTCGCCGACGGGTGGAAGGCGCAGGAGAGCGACACGCGGACGTGGAAGAGCCTTCTCACGCACGCGTACAACGGCGTGAAGGGGATGGAGGACGACGAGGTGAAGAGGGATTTCACGAAAATGACGACCGCGAAGGACGAGGTTTTGAACCGCGATAAGACGATGTACGACGACAGGACTGGGCATCTCACGCGGCAGAGTAAGGGGTTCACGAAGAAGTAGTCCATATGATAGCAGAGGTAAGTTGTTAGGCTGGCCCATGATGTGAGACGAGGGCAAATTCTACGAAAAAAGTTCATCGGTCAGTTGAAAGGGGACGCGATCAAATGTTAAAACCGAGGGATGGGTGAAACCTTTTTGATCGTACGACGGTGACGTGGCCGACCACGCGGCACTCGCGTCCTCGCAACTCGTGGTCTCGCGCGACGTCTCGAGCGAAGCGCCTCTCAGCTTTTCGTCGCTTCGCGCGCGTCCGCAATCCCTCCGCGCGCCCACCCGTCGCCTCCGCATCTTCGACGCACACCTCGCGTCATGGCGACCTCCGCGGCGCCCGCGAGCGGCGCGGTCGCGCGCGCGCGCGCGGGCGCGTCCGCGTCTTTATCCCGCGCGACGACGACGACGACGCATCTCTCGCCGCGCGACGCCGCGCGCGCTCGCGGCCGCGTCGTCGCGTCGCGCGTCGTCCTCGCGCGCGCGGACGCGAACGACGCGCCGACGACGACGTCGGAGAACGCGCCCGCGCCCTCCTCCGAGCCGCGCGCCGCGAAGAAGCGCGACGACGACCGCGGCGACCGCAACCGCGGTCGCAACCGAAAACCGAGAGCGAAGAACCGCGCGTCGTCGTCGTCGTCGTCGTCGTCGCGCATCGCGCGAGCCGCGGACGAGCCCATCGTCTCCGGCGCCGCCGCCGCGAAGTTCATGGGCACGATCGACCTCGACGACGAGATCGACGCGATGGAGATCTTCGCGAGCGCGGGCGCGCTCGCGCGCGAGATGTCCTTCGTCGACGCGGGGGGCCCAATCTCCGCGACGTTCAAAGGCACGATCGACGACGGCGACCTCTCCGCCGCCCTGTTATCCGTGGACGACGACGCCGTCGCGTCGTTCGCGTCGTCATCGCGGCCGGGCGAGAGCGCCGCCGCCGCGACCGCGACGTTCAAGGGCACGATCGACGACGGCGACGTCTCAAATCTATTCCCCGCGGCGAAATCGAAATCGCCGCCGCCGCCGGCGACGCTCGGCGGGCACCCCGAGCTCGCCTTTCTGTGCGACCCGCTCGCGGTGAAATCCATCGCGTCCGACGACGCGACCGACCCGATCAACTCCGCGGAGGTCGTCGGGCGATGCAACGACGTCGTGCGGCGGTGCAAGTCCATGGACGACGTCCTCGCCGTCGTGCGCGAGATGACCGCCGCAGGCGTCGCGCCGGCGGAGAGCACGTACTTCGCGGTGATGCTCGTGTGCCGCAACGTCGCCGCGGTCGGGCCCGCGCGAGCGGTGGAGGTGTACGACGCCATGAGGTTGAACGACGTGAAGGTGAACCGCCGGACGTACGACCTCGCGTTCGAGTGCGCGATCCGAGGGAAACGCGTCGCGGACGCGATGAGAATGAAGGAGGACATGCTCGCGGAGGGCGTGCCTGTCGGCGCGAAAATGTACACGAGTCTGCTGCGCGCGCTCGCGGATAACGACGTCGGGAAAAAGAAAGGGTCGAAGCACAGGCTGATCCGCACGTGCAAGGTGTTCGAGGAGATGCTGTCGACGGGCGTGGAGCCGCCGCCCGCGGCGTTCAACGCGCTGCTGCTCGCCGCGGGACGCGCGAAGCAGCCCGATTTGGTCGCGCGGACGTTTGAAGAGATGGTCGCGACGGGCGTCTCGCCGTCGAGGGAGACGTACGAGACCGCGCTGCACGCGGTCGCGGCGGGGGGGCTCGTGGACGTCGCGCTGGACGTGTTCGGAGCGATGCGGAGGGACGGGTTCGAGCCGAGGAAGAGCACGTGCAACTCGCTTCTCGAGGCGTGCGCGAGCGCGCCGCAGCCGCGGGTTGAGCAGGCGTTTGAAATTTTTTACGCCATGACGGGCGACGGCGGGTTGGGCGTCGTGCCGAACCGCCGGACGTTCGCGCTGCTCATCGACGCCGCGGTCAAGGCGGGTGAGCCGTCGTACGCGTTCGACGCGTTCGAGGCGATGCGCGACGGCGGCGTGGAGGTGACGTTGACCACGTACAACCGTTTGATACACGCGGCGCGCGGAAGCAATAAGGGCGGGTCCAAAAAAGCCGTCGACGGACTCGCGACGGCGATGAAACTCTTCGCTGAGATCAAGGCGCGAGACGACGTCGAGCCGGACGAGTACACGTACGGCTCGCTGCTCGCCGCGTGCGCGTCTGCGGGGGATTACGACGCCGGCGAGACGATCCTCCGCGAGATGACCGCCGCGGGAGTCGGACACAACCGCGTCACGCGCCACGCGACAATCACGCTGCTGGGGAGGTGCGACAAGTGGAGAGAAGCGCTCGCGCAGTACCGCGCGCTCGTGGAGTCCGGCGCGCCGTGCGAGGGCGGCGGGAGGGAGGGGCGGGGCGTCGTCGTCGACGCGGACGCGGAGAAGATTTCGGCGGGCGGCGACCCCAGCGCGCCCGAGTGCGCGCTGGGGTACGGACCGAACCGCGACTCGTACTCGTTGACGTTCGACGCGGTGTTGTCTCCGGGCGGCGCGGAAGCCGCGATCGCGAGCGTCGCGCTGGAGGAGGGCGGCGGCGACGCGTTCATTCACGGCGAGCGCGCGGCCGCCGCGCGCGCGGTCTACCGCGACGGCGTCCACGCCGGGGTGTACGACGAGCCGTCCGCGAGCGTCGACGCGTCGTCCTCGAGCGGCGGCGGCGGCGGCGGCGGCGACGCGTTGCGCGTCAGTTTCACGCACATGACGCGCTCGGAGGCGATCGTCGCGACGCTGGTCCTCCTGGAGGGCTTCGCCGGGATGGACGTCGTGGACGAGAGCGAACTCCCGAGCGGGGTGTTCATCGGCGCGGGCCCGGGTACGAAGGGCAACGCGCAGCGTAGAATGATCGCCGTGGAGAGCGTGTTGCGCGCGGCGTCGCTGCCGTGCGAGACGATCGAGGACCCGAGGACGTACGTCATCGGCGTGCGACGGAGAGACCTCGCGCCGTGGATCGCGAAGATGAAGGGGTCGTTTCCCGTGCACGACTCCGCGTCGCTCGCCGCGGGCGCCGCGCCCGTCGTCGCGCGGTGAGGAGGCGAGTAGGCTGGGTTCGTTTTTAATTAAGATGTCATGACGTTTCGTGCGAATACCGTACGTATGGCGTCGCTCGTTCGTCGGTCACACACGAACCGACGCGTCGTTCGTCCGTCCGTCGGCTTCGATCACACGCCCTGCCGCTGGCACGTCTTCACCGCGGCCTCGATCGCGGCGGCGACCTGGTTCCGCGCCTTCGGCTTCTCCACGACGCCCTGCAACATCTTCACGTCGGAAATTTTCTTCGTCAACTCCCTCAGGTGCTTCGCCGCGATCGGATCCGTCAGCCTCCCCGCGTCGAGCACCGCGTTCACCCCCGCGCACACCTCCGCGACCGTCCGTCTGAGCTGCGATACCTTACAACTCGCGAGTCGGGACTGGTGCCGGGACAAGAACGCGGCCGCGGACGTCGCGAGGATCTCCTCCGCGGCGGCGGCGGCGACGACGGCGACGGGCGGGCCGCCTTCCGATCCCGATCCCCCGCCGCCGCCGCCGCCGCCCTGCGCCGCCGCGATGGCCGCGCCCGCCGCCGCCGCCGCCGCCGCCGCCGCCGCCGCCGCCTTCGCCTTCGGCGACGCCCCTGACTGCTTGAACGGCAAGCTCGCGTTGCAGTGCGGACAGATGCGCGTCGGCGACCCCACGACGCCGTGGCACTCTTGGCACAGCTTGCGTCCTTTCCCCAACGGCGTGCCCGGGTTGTGCGCGTGGAACGTCGCGCCCGCGCCCTTCTTGTGCGACTTCGGCTTCGGCTTCGGCGGCGCGCCCCCGGGCCCCGGATTGTGCGGCAGCGACGCGCCCGCGGCGGCGTTCGTCGTCGACGACGACTTCTTCGTCGCCTTGGGCGGCGGCTTCGGCGGCTTCGGCGCGGACGCCGGCGCGGACGCCGCCGCGCCGCCGCCGGCGTCGAGCCCGCCCGCGGCGGCGTCGGCGGCGGCTTTCGCGAATCCGCTCTTCCCTCGCGTCGCCCTCAGCTCCGGCTCGTTCCTCCGCGCGGCGACGTACGCGGCGTCGTACACGGGCCGCTGCTTTCCCGTTTTCCCGACGCCGCCGCCGCCGCCTCCGAAAAACGGCGCCGGCGGCGGCGGCGGACGCTCGTACCTCGCCGCGAGCGTCCCAACGTGCGACCGCAACGCGCCGCGCCACTGCGCGATAAGCGATTCGCACAGCTTGCGCACGGTCCCGGTCTCATCGTCGTCGTCGCACGCGTCGCGCGTCGCCATCACGCGCTCGCGCACGTTGGTCCCGTCCAGCACCGCGAGCGAGACGTGCGTCGCGTGTAACTCTTTCAGCGCGTCGACGGCGGCGATCGTCGCGCCTCTTCGCGTCTCCGACGCCGTCGCCTTTTCTTTTTTGCTCGTCGACCCGCCGTGATGGCTCTTCTGCCGCGCCGCGAGCGTTTCTATCACGTCGTCCAGAACCGCCTCGATCCGCGACATCGCGTCCTCGACGTCCGCTCTCATGCCCTCCCGCACGAACGCGAGCGCGCGCGTCCGCGCGAGCGTCCACCGCGCCTCTCTCTCCTCTAGCGTCGTCGGGAAGAATCGAGCGTATGTCGGGGTGGAGTTGAAAGGGGTCAGTTAGAGTTGAAAGGCAACGCGGGCGGAGATTGAAAGCGAGGCGTGGGCGGAGAGACACGCCGGGAAAAGTCCTTAAGGATCGGCGTCCACCACGCCGACGCGGTCGTATGGGGACCAGTGTACAGAACGCACCTCGCCGCGTCGATCGCGTCGGCGGATCGACGTCGTCGCCGGTGTGCTCGCTCGCGAAGTAATCCGCCGCTCGCCTTCGCTTCCCGAGCGCGTTCGAGACGTCCCGCGCCGCCTCGAGCCGCGCGACCCTCTGCGCGTGGAACTTGCTCCCGCCCTGGGATCCGCCGGGTTTATGCTTCGGCGGGTGCTTCCCGAAACTCAGCGCGGCGCCCGCGGCGGTCGCGGCGGCGCCGACGCCGCCGCACATCGCCGCGAGCCATCGATGCACGCCGACGAGGTTCCCGCACGTCAACGGTGGGCCGATATCGAACGAGGAAACCTTGTGGTACGAGTAGTGCCCGTCCCTCGTGTCGCGCTCTTCGCCCGTGACCGCGAGCGACGCGACGGAGGCGCGGTCGACGAGGTAGAAGTTGATGCCGCGTCGGCCGTCCGGGAAGACGAACTTTTCTTGCGAGTGCGTCACGAATTTGGGAAGCTGACCGCCGCCGCGCGATAAGCCCGCCCCCGACGCGTCGCTCGCGCGATTCGCCGCCATACCCGCCGCGACGATCGTCGGGGTGACGCCGCCGGCGACGGACGCGCGCGCGATGCCCTCGGCGACGATCCCGTCCAGCCACGCGATGAGCTCGCGGCGGTCCGTCGTCGAGATCGTTCCGTGATTCTTCGAGAAGTTTTTCGCGTTACGGTACGTCGGTCCTCCGCCGCCGCCGCCGCCGCCGCCTCCTCCCGCTCCGGGCGAGTCCTCGCACACCGCCGCGAGCGTCTCTCCGCCGTCGTCGCCGCCGAGGAGGTAGTACTTGAACTTCGTCTCGCCGCCGCCGGGTTGCTTCGCCTCGCGGTAGGACGTGAAGAAGGCGTCGACGTTCTCCGCGGAGCTCTCCTCGGGGTCCGTCATCCAGTCGTCGACCGATCGCTCGCGTCTGTCGATCGATCGATCGATCGATCGATCGATCGCGCGCTCGCGCGCGCGACGATCGAGCGCCGCGCGAGCCGGTGCGGGGGTGCGAGCGCGAGCGACGCGCGCGCTCGTTGTGCCGCGCGTCGACCGAGGAGAGAGGACCGAGAAGATAGTCTCAGGGAGGAGACCTGAGGGCTCGACCCGTTCAATTACCGGTGAAACATTTATTTTCAAACCGTAAAAAACATTTTCTGGTTTCGGAAATCTCGATTCGACCGCGATCGAGCCACACAGCCCACCCACCCACGGATATTTTCCACGCAGCACGTTCCGACGCGCTGACACACGAAAAACAACAACCGGGGCATTATTCGCGGTCGCACCTCGCACCGGTCGCACGCGACACGACCTTCCCAAGATGGGTCCGCCGAAGAGCAAACCCCCTAAAAACACCGATGTGACCCCGTCGCCGCCGGTGAAGTCCACAGCGAGTGCGTCCTCGCCCCCGTCGCGCGGTCGACGCTCTCGCGCGTCTCGCACGCATTTCATCGCGCGCGGTATCCGCCCGGCTGGACGGCGAGACGGATGCTCGATAGACGGTCGCTCCCACCCCCGCGGCCTCGCCCCCTCGTCTTCCCTCCGCTGACGCGCGATCCCACCCCCTATCGACCCGTCGCCGCCGCAGTGGGGCGCAAGAAGATCCGAATCGAGCGCATCGCGGACGAGAGGAACCGCCAGGTCCGTCCCCGCGCCCCCCCCGCGCCGGTCAACATCATCATCCCCCGACCGCGATCGAACGACGCTTCTTTTCCTCGGTCAACCCACCCGCGGCGTCGCGCCGACGAAGGCGCGCGTCGCCGTCGCCGCCGCGTCCCTCGCGGCGCATCGCGTCCTCCCCCCGCGCGACGCCACCGCGACGCCACCGCGACGCCACCGCGACGACGCGCGACGCTGACGCCGTCCCCGCCCCGTCCCCCCGCGCGAAAATCCATCCATCTTCTACCCTCGCGCGCGCGTGCAGGTCACGTTCACGAAGCGAAAGAACGGCCTCATGAAGAAGGCGATGGAACTGAGCGTCTTGTGCGACTGCCAGATCGCGCTCGTGATTTTCAACAGCAACAACAAGCTGTTCCAGTACAGCAGCGGGGATATCAACCACGTCCTGACGCGGTTCAAGAACGACACCGTGGGGCCGCACGAGCGACGCAACAACAAAGACGTGCGTGAGCGCGCGAACGCCCGCGCGGGCGTTGACTTTTCGTCGTCGTTTTCTTTCGGTCCTTTTTCCGTCTTCACCGACGCGTTCTCTTCCCCTCTCGCGGTCGGATTGCCCTCCCTCGCGACGCGTACACCCTCTATAACGCATCACATCTAACCGTTTCCGCCCTCCCCCCCCCGATCTCCCTCTCGCGTCATCAGCTGTTCAACCAACACTTCAAGAACCAGCCCGCGTCGGCGGGGTCTAAAAACCCAAACACCGTGGACTCCGAGGACGAATTCGGAGCCGATACCAGCGACGACGACGACGACGAGCCGACCGCGCGCGGCGCCGCGAAGACGCTGAAGAACGGCGCCAACGGGAAGCACACGTCCGGCGGAAACGGCGGCGGGAAGGTGCTCACGCCGACCAAGCCGCGGAGCGCGAAAGTCGCGGGGGGAAAAAACGCAAAGGCGGTCGCCGCGAGGCTCGCGGCGAAACGCGCCGCCGCCGCCGCCGCCGCCGCCGCCGCCGCCGCCGCGGAGGCGGAGATGGACGAGGACGAGCTCGACGCCGTCGACGGCGTCGCGTCGCTGACGCCCACATCGGAAGGCAGGGCGCCGTCGTGGGGCAACGACTCGCTCGGCGGCGGCGGCGGCGGCGGCGCGTCGAGAAAGTTTCTCGAGCACCTGCAGGCGCGTTCTATACACTGGTCCCCATACGACCGCGTTGTCGTGGTGAACGCCGTTCCTTAAGGACTTTTCCTGGCGTTTCTCTCCGCCCACCCCTCGCTTTCAATCCCCGCCCGCGACGCCTTTCAACTCCACCTGACGCCTTTGAACTCCACCCCGACATTCGCTTGTATGGAACGGCCCTGCAGTCGGCGACGGACGCGCTCGGGAAATCATCCGGCGGGAAGGATCACCCCGGGTCGGCGCTGAACACGTCCGGGCTGTTCAGTTCCGGCGGGAAGTCCCCGAATGGTGGGATGGGGTCGCTGTTCGGCGGGTTGGGGATGTCTGGCGTCACGCCGACGGGGCTGTCGTTCGGCGGGCTCATCTCTCCCGGCGCGCTGCAGGCGGATCTCGGCGCGAGCCTGGAGTTTCCCGCGGCGTCCGGCGGCGGCGGCGGCGGCGGCGGCGGCGGCGGCCTCGCCGCGGGGATCCTAAACAACTCGCTCAACGCGAAGCACGCCGTGTTGAAGAGTTCCGCGAGCGCCGGCGGCGGGACGGTCGGGAACGGGAACGGGAACGGGAACGGGAACGGGAAGAAGGGCGACTTGCGGATCGACATCCCGGAGAATACGTCGAAGACGATCGAGGTGGCTGCGGCGCGCGGCGTCGGCGTCGGCGACGCGTCGGGCGCGAGCCCGAGCCCCGGGCCGCTGACGTCGCTCCTCATGCGAGGCCCGGACGGTATCAACCTGTCCGGCCGCGGGGACGGCGGGGGGAACGAGAAGGCGACGGAAGCCGCGGCGGCGGCGGCGGCGGTGCGCGCGGACGCGGCGAAGAGAGAAGAAGAGAAGGAGACGACCAAGCTGGCGGACGGCGGCGGGTCGTTCGCGCTGCCGGGTTTGGGCGGCGGCGACGTCGACGTCCCGTCCCCGACGGCGCTCGGCGGGAGGGATAGGGCGGCGGGGGTGAAGCGGGCGAGGAACGCGTCCGTGAGCGAGCCGAGCCCGGGGACGGGGAAGCGCTCGACGCGAAGCAGAAAGTGACCGACGTCGCGTCGAGATTCGATTCGATCGGACGACGGTTGACCGGAACCGAAGAGGCGCGTTATCATAAGAAGTCGGGGCGCGAGAGAAGAGAGCGATAGCGGCGCGGCGAGCGACCGAGTCGCGCGATGCGACGACGCGAGATTGATTCTAAGACTAAACACCTCCCGCCGCGCGCGTTCCGTTCCGTTCCGTTACGTTCCGCGCGTTCGGACCGAGGACGACGACACCCAAAAGTGGACGACGAATGCGAATGCGAACGCATCCCCGATCCCCGATCCACCATCCCCTCACGCGGTCGCGACGTCGTCGTCGACGCACATGTACACGCCCACGTCCTCGAGCTGCCGCACCGCCGCCGGGATGCTCTTCAGCGGGTTCCGCTTGATGTCCAGCCGCTTCAGCTTCCGCAGCTTCCCCAGGTCCGCGGGCAGCGACGTGAGCCGATTGAAGTAGAGCTCAAGCCGCTCGAGCTGCAACAAGTTCCCGACCGCTTTCGGCACGGACGTGAGGTGGTTGTTGCTGAGCGTGAGCGATCGCAGGTGCGATAGCCTCCCCAGCGTCTCCGGCACGGACGTCAGCGCGTTGTAGCTCACGTCCAGCTCCCTCAGCGCGCCGAGCTTTCCGACGCACGCGGGCACCGCGCCGGACAACCCTCTCTCGTCGAGAACGACTTTTATCACTCGATCCCTCGCGTCGAGCGTGACACCTTCCCAGCCCGAGATTGGCACATCGAGCGGCCAGAGCGACTGCAGCGCGGGCGAGGACGCGCGCCAGGTCTTGAGCGCGTCCGCGTCGCCGACCGCGCTCCCTGACGTGCTCGGGGAGCCCGGGCCGGGGATCCCCGCGCCCGCGCTCGAGGACGCGCCGCAGCCCATCGAATGTGAATGAGACGCGCCCCTTCGCGATCGATGAAAACCTGACTCAGCTCAAAACAGATTCATCGGTGAGTTGAAAGGAGGTGCGATCAAGTGTTGAAACCAGGGACGGGTGAAAATCGTGCACAGAACGCACTTTTCAACCGATGAAAAGAGCCCGGCAAAAAAAGGTCGTTTCCAACGGCTGCCCTGCGCAAAGACCGACGCGCGCGATGGCCACGTCGCCGCCGCCCGCGACGCGCTCGCCCGCGCCGCCCGAGCGCGCGGGCCGCACCCCCGGCTCCATCGTCCGCCGATCGCGCGCCGCGCACGACCGCGACCCCGCGGAGGTCGTCGTCGTCGGCGAGATCACGGGCGCGACCGGATTCGAAAAGAGCACGCGCGGGGGATCCGTGTGGTGCAAGTGGGCGGTCGTGCACGGCGAGCGATGGACGCTGACGCGAGGGGACAAGTCCGGGGCGACGCAGGCCGCGAAGGCGTGCTGGGCCGGCGGCGAGCTCGCGACGTGGGCGCACCCGATACAGCTCTCGTTCAAGACGACGAGCGCGCAGGCGCGTCCGCTCGTCGCGTCGCGTCGCGTCGCGTCGGTCGCGCGCGTCCGGTCGACCGGAGGACGCGGGCGAACCGAGCCAACGGCTTACTTTTATTCCGATGTCAGCGTCGTCGTCCCTCCCTCCCTCCCTCCCTCGTCCGCGCTCGCTGACATCCTCGTTCGACGCCCCCGCCTCCCGACGACGACGCGCGCAGGGCTGGCCGAAGCTCGTGTTCGCGGTGTACGAGCGCGACGCGTGGAGCGGCGTGGACGTCTTCGCGGCGTACGGCATCAAGGTGCGTTCTGTACACTGGTCCCCATACGACCGCGTCGGCGTGGTGAACGCCGATCCTTAAGGACTTTTCCCGGCGCATCTCTCCGTCCAACCCTCGATGGTTTCAATCCCGACACACCTCGATGCCTTTCAACTCCGCTTCTGACGCCTATGAACTCCACCCCGATATCATCGCTCGTATAAAACGACCCTCAAGAACCTCCCGCTCTCCCCCGGGATGCACGAGCTCGAGTGCCACTGCTGGCGCGCGAACGATCGAAACGCGCGCCTACAGGAGGGCGTCGCGGAGTTCTTCGCCAACGCGCGCCCGGAGCTGGAGGGGTGGAAGGACGCGCTTCTGTCGCGCGACGACCTGTTCGCCTCGAGCGCGATCACCGTGGGCATGGGCAGCGTCCACGCGCAACTCATGCTCGTGACCAAAGGGATGGACGGGCCCGACGGCGTGTCCAAGGCGTCCGCGGGGGTGAGACTGCTTCCCATACGACCCTGTTCGCGTGGTGCACGTCGTTCCTTGAGGACTTTTCCCGTCGTCACTCTTCACCCGCGCTTCCCCTCCAACGTTTGACCGGTAAGACGTTCGACTGACCGATCGCTTCACCCACGCAGGCGCCGACGCCCGGGAAGGAGCTCGAACGGCGCGCGCGTCGGTTCGAGCAGAACGCGCGCGGGAAAGGCGGCGAAAAGCTCTCGGACGACGACGACGAGTACGACGACGAGAACGCGTCGCCCGGGTCCCGAGGCTTCCGAGGCTTCGGGAAGGCGGGCGTCGCGGCGTCGCTCGGGCTGCAATCGCTCCGTCGGAACCTCCCGACGGACCCGCGAGACGTCGCCGACGCGGTGGAGTCGCCGGACCGAGACGCGCGGCGAAGCGAACGCGCGGCGGCGGTGCGAGCGTCGTACACGCGTCCGGAGCGCGCGAGCCGGACCGCCGCCGCGTCGGGGTACCCCGAGGAGCGCGGAAGCTGGAACGACGTGGAGAACGGAGGCGCGGCGGCGGCGGCGGCGACGACGACGACGCGACGCGCGCGGCGGTCCGCGGCGCTCGACGCCGACGACGCAGACGTCACCGCGCCGCGGACGTCGCGCAGAGACCGTCGCGGCGGCGGCGTCGTCTCGACCGGATCGAGTTTGCTGAGCGAGCGCCGCGCCGCGCGCCATCCCGCGGCGGGGACGGACGGCGACGGGTCCGGAGCCGTCGCGCCGCGGTCGAGAACGGCGTTGTCGCACGAGGTGGAGAGCATCGAGGACGCGCCGTTAAACGGCGACGGCGGCGCCGCCGACGTCGTCGCGGCGTCGAGGCGGGAAGCGAGGAGCGCGAGGCTGGCCGCCGCGGGCGGCGGCGGCGGCGGCGGCTCGCACTCGCCCGTGGACGACGCCGCGGGGGTGGAGGCGAGGCGGCGGTATCTGGACATCGAGCCGGGCGGGCGTCGGCGGCGAAACGCGCCGCTGTGACGCGTCGAAGAGTACTACGTAGCTGTACATGAATACTGACGACGACGAACGAAACGAAACGAGACGAGCTTCGTTTGGTACACTATCTCAGCGCGATCGGGTGGGATACAGTACCCCCCCTCCCCCTCCTATCCCAACACTTCCACGGCGTCGGCGCCGTCGTCGTCTTCGCCCGGTCCGAGTTGCTCTTCCAGCGACAGCAGAAGGTCGCCGCACGCCTCAGGGTTTTGCGAACACGCGTCCTCGTCGTCCATCCATTCGAGCTCCACGCGCTTCATCTCGTTCGCGACGACGTCACGTAACGCATCCCCGGTGAACGTTTTTCCATCCTCCCCGATCCCCGGCGCGTCGCCCTTCAGCCTCCACACGAACGCCCGGATCACGTCCTCGGGGCCCTCCTCGCCGATCACCTTCAACATCCCCTTGTACGCGAATCGCTCTCCGACTAGCCACTTGTCCGTCGTCACCGCTACGGCGCCGCGCCGCATCACCGCGCTCAGCGCGGCAGAGAGTTCCGGCAGCCGCAGACCGTCCTCGGACGGGAACGCGGTCGAGTACGCCAGCGCGAGCGTCGCGGAGGAGAGATCCGCGGCGGCGGCGTCGATCGCAGCCGCGAAAACCGCCGCGTCCGCCGGCGACGTCGCGCCGGTCCCCATGCGACCGCCTCCTCCCGCGCCCAAGCACGCGTCCGCGTGCGTCGACGCGGCGACGCCCTCTCTGAGCACGCCCGCGGCCTCGAGCCTGCGTATCGCCGCCGCGCCGAGGTCCGCGAGCGGTTTCGAGGCTTCCACGCCGACGACGCGTCGCCACGGCCTGAGGGTCGTTCCATACGAGCGAACGTCGGGGTGGAGTTGAAAGGCGTCAGAAGCGGAGTTGAAAGGCGTCGAGGTGCGTCGGGATTGTGAGCGAGGGGTGGGCGGAGAGAGACGAACGCCGGGAAAAGTCCTTAAGGAACGGCGTTCACCACGCCAACGCGGTCGTATGGGGACCAGTGTAGGGCTATAGAACGCACCTCATCGTCGCCGCCGCCAACAGAAGCCTTCCGGCGCCAGAGCCGACGTCGACGAGGACGGGCTCCGCGCGCGACGGGTCGTTCGCGATCGCGAGCGCGTCTCGAAACGCGCTCCTCGATGATTCCGACGACGATTCGTCTTCCGATGATGATCCCCCAACGGAACGCGAACCGTCGTCGTCCGAACACGACGACGACCCCTCGCTCTCGAGCGCGGCGGCGACGGCGGGGTGCTCGAGGACGCTCAGGAGCCCGGTCAGCGGGAACTCGCCGTACGCGCCGTGCGTCTCCGCGTCGAGGTTGTTCATCGCGACCTCGAAGCGAAGGCGGCGGGATTCGCCGCCACCGAGGACGCCGCCGGCGACGTCCATCAGCGCCTTCGCGTCCGCGGGGGCCGCGGTCGCGACGACGGAGCGTCGTCGTCGTCGGTGATGATTATGATGAAGATGACGGTGATGATGACGAGGAGGAGGAGGACGACTCGCGACTCGCGTCTCTCTCCGCGCGGGGTGACGACCGGGGACGCGCGGCGCGACCGGCGCGGCGGCGTTGGGCGCGGCGATGGGCGCGGGGGGCATCGTGCGCGTCCGCGCGAACGAGCCTCCCGCGCGCGGCGCACTGGCGGCGGGCGACGATGCACTGTTTCCTCGGAACCGGATATCGCCAATGCGAACAGAACGTAAAAACAAACCCGCGTGCGTGCCGACCTCCGCGCGCGACGACACGTCTCGCCGCGCGCGGACGCTCCCGTCGCGATACATGCCCTCCCTCCTCGTGCCAATCCCCTCGCCCGCGCGCGCATCGCGCGCGGCGTCTCTCGGGTCCACCGCCGCGCGCCGCGTCTCGCGCCGCGTCGCGCGCATCGCGTCCGCGTCCTCGTCGTCGAGCGATGAGATTTCGAGCCGACGACGAGATCGAAACCCCGCGGCGACGCGCCTGCGCGAGCTCCTCGCGGGCCCGGACATCGTCCAGACCCCGTGCGCGCACGACGCGCTCTCCGCGTCGCTCATCGAGCGCGCGGGGTTCAAAGCCGGGTTCATGTCCGGCTTCTGCGTCTCCGCGGCGCGCCTGGCGATGCCCGACGCGGGACTCATCTCGTACGGCGAGATGGCGGACGTCGGGAGGACGGTGTGCGAAGGCGCGTTCTACCATCTCACACTGGTCCCCGTACGACCGCGTCGGCGTGGTGAACGCCGATCCTTAAGGACTTTCTCTCCCGGCGCATCCATCTCTCCGCCCAGGGTCCCTCGCTGGTTTCAATCCCGACACACCTCGACGCCTTTCAACTCCGCTTCTGACGCCTTTCAACTCCACCCCGACGTTCGCTCGTACGGACCCTCGACCCTCAGCCGTGTCGCCCGGGTTCCCGTTCATCGGCGACGCGGACGACGGGTACGGGAACGCGATGAACGCGAAGAGGACGACGCGCGGGTACGCCGCCGCCGGGTTCGCAGGGCTGCTCATGGAGGACCAGGTCGCGCCGAAAGCGTGCGGGCACACGCGGAATCGGAGAGTCATCCCGCGCGCCGACGCCGTCGCGCGCGTCAGAGCCGCGTGCGACGAACGCGACGAGGGGCCGAACGGGGACATCGTGATCTTCGCTCGGTCGGACAGTCGAAGCGCGGAGAGTTTAGAAGAGGCGCTGTGGCGCGTCGCCGCGTTCGCGGACGCGGGCGCGGACGCGTTGTTCATAGGTGCGGTGCGCGCGCGGACGTCCTATGAACATCGGTCGTTTTGGTTTCGGTTCTCTCTCTCACGGCAGTCAGGTCGACTTCTCCCCGAACCGCCCCGACCGCGACCGTCCTAAACCCTAAATCCTGACCCACCACCTAACAAACCAAACAGATGCGCTGCGATCGCGCGAGGAGATGGAGGCGTTCTGTAAGATCGCCCCAGGCGTGCCTAAGATGGCCAACATGCTCGAGGGCGGCGGCGCGACGCCGATATGCTCGCCCGACGAGCTCCGAGACATGGGGTTCAAAGTCGTCGCGTACCCGCTGTCGCTGCTCATGGCGTCCACGCGCGCGATGGAGAACACGCTGCGGACGATCCGCGACGAGGGGTACCCGGACGAGAGCACGCTCGGGACGTTCGAGGAGATCAAGGACGTGATCGGGTTTAACGCGTACTACGCGGAGGAGGCGCGGTACGACACGACGCGCGCGGCGAACGCGAACGCGGCGGCGGCGGCGGGGTCGGGGTCGACGGGCGGCGAGGCGGCGTACGACGCCGCGTTCGACGCGCTCTGCGAGGACGACCCGAGCGCGGACGAGTGCAAGGTGTTCGACTGACGCGCGCGCGCGTTCGCGGCGACAAGAGGTGGAGGCGCCGGTCTAGCTAGTAGACCGCGTTAGGCGAGAGGCTAGACAAAAGTTGAAAGATCGCGATCGATGATTGGTCGCTCGGGGAAGCGTCGGACGAACGCGCGTCGCCCGACGACCCGCCGCGACGGAGTCTGATCGGTCACAGCCGCCGCGCGCGCGCGCGCGCACGCCACGATGCCGCTCTCGCGCACCGCGTCGTCGCACATGCTCAACATGACGCACAACTTCTCGAAGACGTCCATGCCGTGGGGCCCGCGGCGGTCGATCCTCGCCGGCGGCAGCGGCATCTTCTTCTTCCTTCCCGGCGTGTTCGCGACCGGCGCGATGAAGGGGTGGATATACCTCGCGTTCTGGATACAGGGCGTGGTGTCGTTCATGTCAGACTACTGGACGTGCGGGATGGACTCCGCGTGGCACGGCGCGGACCGATGGATGGCGACGATCATGACGGTGCGCGCCCGTCCGCGCGAGCGGTCCCGTCGCGACGACCGCGGTCGCTTCCCTCCGGCGCTTCGTTCGCCCTCTCAGCTCGTTCGTCTCGCGTTTTCGTCCGGTCGTCTCGCGCGCGCCGATCGACCGATCGCTGACCTCCCTCGCCCTCGCGCGCGCGCCGATCGCTGACCTCCCTCGCCCTCGCCCTCGCCCTCGCCCGACGCGACGCAGCTCGGGATGATGTGGTTCGCGCACGACCGCCTGTCGTTCTGGCACGCCGCGCTCGCGCTCCCGCCGCTGTTCTGTCTGTATCTCTCCAAGCGCGCGGTCCTCGCTGCCGACTGGGGAAAATTCGTGCTCTGGCACACGCTCTGGCACGTCGGCGGCGTCTCCGGCGCGTCGTACATCATGTGGCTCATGTACGACCAGCCCGCGCTGGGGGACGTCGTGGGGAACATCGCGTCCGTGGTCGTGGACGTCGTGGGCGCCGTGGGGGAGAACGCGAGCGCGGCGATGACCTGGGCCGGAGGCGGGTCGGAGTTGTGACGGACGAACGGGACGGGCGGACGAGACGGACGGACGCGTCCGGTCGGGAGAGCCGCGACGATCGTCGTCGCGCCGCGCGCGATGAAGAAATTAGATAGCTACGAATTATTAAATTACGTCGAGTCATATTGTCATCGCGAACGACGGCGTTCGACGTCGAGAGGACGAGAAAACAGGCGGGTCACGCGGCGGCTCAAAACGTCTCGACGCAATCCAAACGCACGCGCCCGCACTCCGTGGGCTCCCCCACGCTCACCTTCGACAACCCCACGAGATCCGCCTGGTACGTCTTCGTGACCTTGAACGACAGCCGCCCGTCGCTCAGGACGTGCCCGCTCTTGCTCCCGCGCGCGTGTCTCAGGGTCGTTCCATACAAGCGAACGTCGGGGTGGAGTTCAAAGGCGTCAGGTGGAGTTGAAAGGCAACGCGGGCGGGGATTGAAAGCGAGGGACCCTGGGCGGAGAGACACGCCGGGAAAAGTCCTTAAGGATCGGCGTTCACCACGCCGACGCGGTCGTATGGGAACCAGTGTATAGAACGCACCTCATCTCGCCGAACAGTTTCCCCGCCGGGACGTGATACCCGCCCTCTCGCACTTCCACCCTGTTGACGTCGAACGAGAGCAGCATGTACGGGTACAGCGGTTCCTCGAACAGGCCCCAGATCCACAGTCCAGCCTTGCGCTCGTTCGGGTCCTGCGAGGGGAGTGGGGAGTGGGGAGTGGGGGGGACGAAGGCGACGACGCGCGATGAGGGAGACTCTGAGGAGACTATATCGCAGACGAGCTACGACAGGTAGAGCGATAAGAAGCATCTCGCGCGGAGCGACCGAAACCGATCGCGATCGTCGGCGGTCGCACCTCCTCGAGCGTCCATCGATGCAGCCCGCCGTCGACGAACACGCCGTCGTCGTCCTCCACGATCTGGACGACCCCTTGCGGAGGCTCGTACCCCTCGTCGACGACGAACACGCACCGCGCGTCGACGACTCGGTCCGGCTCCGACGACGCGCCGACGCCGCTGAAGAGCTCCAGTCGCAGTCGCCACGTCGAGGAGGCGTCCAGGGACGGGAGCGCGTCCGAGGCGGCCGCCGCGCGCGTCGCGAGCGCTTTGCGCGCGTCGCGAGCGTCGCGGGCAAAAGGCGAGGAGGCGACGCGCGTTGGGGCGACGCGCGCGAGCGACGGCCGCGCGGCCGCGGCGGCGTGGTGCGACAGCGCCATCGCGAGTGCGATGCCACCCTGTCCGCGTCAAGTGCTGGTTCCGAAAACGAGCTCGTCGCGCGTCATCGGAAACGTCCGTTAGTTCGCGGGCGCGGCGCACTGTCCGCGGCGCGGCGCGGCGCGGCGCGCGCGAGGGCACGATACGGATCGGGGGATGTCGCAGGCGTCCTCGAGGCTGGCGCCGTGGCGCCCGAGGCCGAGCCCCGTCGTTGACGCGCTCCTTCGCGGTGCGCGCGGCGGCCGTTTGACCGACGACCATTAAATCTCTTCCACGACGACGACTCGGTGCCCACTCTCCGCGCGGACCATCCCGCCCCGTTGAGACTCGCCCTCACGCGCGCGCTTCGTCCCCATCCCGGCGACGTCTGTCTCCCACTCCCTCCCAGGCGACGCGCATCCGCCCCCCGGGGACATGTTCCTCGTCCAGCGCGTCGGCCCGACGTCGTTCGTCGTGCGCGAGGACGGACGGAGGCGCGCGTGCAAAGTCTTGATCGGCGCGAAGATGACGTGCGGCTGCGGCGGCGGGTTCGGCGGTTCGAACACGAACCGCCGCGTCGGTTCAAATTCCGCGCGCGCCGGCTCCGGGCTCAGCGCGACGACGAGCGCGACGCGGCTGGCGATCATGGAAGCCGCGGGGATTCGAACCGACGCCGACGACGCCGCGACGGTTCACGCGACGCGAGACCTCCCGGAGGTCTGCGCGCACATTGTCTTCGTGATGCGAAAGGTGCTCGGCGTGCCGCGGTCCAACCCGCTGACGTGGCAGGTGTCGCTCATCGACCGCGAGCTGGACGAGGTCTTGCGGTGCGAGCCGAGGGCGGTCGCATTCGCCGTGGACGCGGGGCGACGGCGGGGGGAACGATCGACCGACGCGAGCGGCGGCGGCGTCGGCGACGCGTCCGACGCGCGCGAACGCGGCCGCCGCGCGTTGGAAGCGGACGAGGCGTGTCCGATCTGCTACGAGCCCATGCGCGCGGCGGCGTCCGCGTCGTCATCAAAGCGCGATTTCGATCACGGCGACGATTTGCTCTGGTGCGAGCGCGGATGCGGTCGCAACGTCCACGCGCGGTGCCTCTCGCTGTACGCGCAACATCAGGCGCGTTCTATACACTGGTTCCCATACGACCGCGTCGGCGTGGTGAACGCCGATCCTTAAGGACTTTTGCCGTCGTCTCTCTCCGCCCACCCCTCGCTGCTTTCAATCCCCGCCCTCGACGCCTTTCAACTCCGTCTGACGCCTTTGAACTCCACCCCGCCATCGCTTTGTATGGAACGACCCTCAGGCGAGCGTCGACCAGCCGACGACGTGTCCGCTGTGTCGCGCGGCGTGGGGGGAGGTGGAAAGATGGAAACCGAAACCGTCGCGTCCGGGCCGTTTTCGAGGGGTGAACGCCGCCGCCGCCGCCAACCCGGACGCGCACTACGGCGTCACGTGCGGCGCGTGTCGCGTCGCGCCGATCCTCGGGACGCGGTTCAAGTGCGTCGTGTGCGAGAGCTACGACTTGTGCGGCGCGTGTTTCGCGCGCGGGGAGGCGCGCGTTCTCCTTCACACTGGTCCCCATACGACCGCGTCGGCGTGGTGAACGCCGTCCCTTAAGGACTTTTCCCGGCGCATCTCTCCGCCCACGCCTCGGTTTCAATCCCCGCCCGCGTTGCCTTTCAACTCCGACTGACGCCTTTGAACTCCACCCCGACTTCGCTTCGTATGGAACGGCCCTCAGGCGCACGCGACGCACCCGTTCGAGGCGCGGGAACGCGGAACGTCAACCGTCGCG